GCAGAGATAACGGATGCGCCAGTTTTTCTCCTCGCTTTGGACTCAGAGAAAGAGATTCTCCGAGGGGCACCCCGCTGTGCCCCCCATAGGGGGGGCGTCAAGGGTCTGCTGAGATGTGGGGGTGCAGGTAAAAGGGACTCAGACCGGACAGCTTGGGACAGGAGTCAGAGTGTTCTCCTGGGAGGGGGTGGGAAGTAATATCCAGATCGCTGGTTCCCTGACCCCCCCTCTTCTGGTTCCCCCCAGGAGACTCCCAGTCCCACCTTGTTCAGTCTCTGAGGCACCAGGCTGCTCCCCTGAGAGGACTGAGGTTTGGAAAGACTGGGCCCAGGGTTAACTGGGGTGGGGGTGGGGGGAGGTCAGGGCATCGAAGGAAAAGACTAGTTCTTGGTATCAGGAGATTGGGTGCCCATTCTAACCGCCATGTGACCTTGTCAAAGTCACTGCACCCTCTGGCTCCGGCTTCTCTTGCAGTGGTTGTAATACCAGGGTAAAAGGACTTGAGAGCTGTGATGAGTCCAGCCCAGCGAAGCTGGGGACCCTTGCCTGTCAGGGCTAAAGCGGGGCTGCGGACACCAGCCCTTCTCCCTGCCTTCCACCTGGGCCCAGGGAAGAGAGGTGGGGTGGAGGGGACAGAGGCAGACGGAGCAGCAGCAGCCGCCTGGGGCTGTCCCTCAGTAAGGGGGCGCCGCCCATCTTCCCAGGGCCTCCCAAGTTGCTGGAGAACCCGCAGGGGACATCTCTGAAGGCAAAGCTTGCTCCAGAAGGGGCAGGTCCCGATCCTAAAGCCGGGGCGCAGGGAGTTTCCTCTCGGCACACAAGGTCCTCACGCTTGTGCCGAAACACAGGATCCCACCCGGCTCAAGGAAGGGCTCGAGCCCCATCATCGGTGCCAAATCTCTGGGTGACCAGGTCCTCCCACTTTCAGTGAGGTCTCAGTCACTTCCAAAGTCCTCAGCCTCACTCGGAGGTCATTCTCTAATTTGCACAAGACACACACAGTTCGATCACGGGACGCTGACCTCTCCCTAAGAGGGGCGGTTTGAAGTCTGGGGACACGTGCTCTCTGATCTACCAGCTACGGTGTTTCTCGCTCATCACTGTCTTTTCCTGCATATAAATTCACCTTCCCTTTGTCAACAAGGGGAAATGAACGGGTTGTCCTCGGTTTACCTGCGTGTCCCGCTGTAGACAGGACCTGGCACTCTCTCTCCCTGGGGTTAATTCGGTGGCTCGCCTCTGGTACCCCGGCTGTAGCTTTGCTCCTGTTGGGTTAATCCCTGGGACTGTGTGAAACACCGTTCCACGTGCTCTGTCCACATGCACTGCCTCGCCCCCAGATGCCCACTGCCTGGGGGCCTGATTCCTCTCCTTGGGGTCCTCTGATGCCCCCACCTCCTCTCTTCATTCCTCCTGTTCCTCTGTGTCCCCTCTCCAGGGTGTCATATGCCCCAAACCCCAAGTCCTTTCCCTTCCTTCAATGAGCAGGCCCTGAAATCCTGCCTCTTCAGGACGTGAGGCAAAAGCCCCCATCACACCCTCTGAACTCCACATGCCCTTCTGCTCAAAACACCACCTGTCAGTTTACAAGACAAGACACCTTTCATGCCATTCTCATGAGCGAATTCACTGGGGGGTCCCCTAAAGCCCCAAACCTTCCTCTGTCCACAGGTCACCTTCCCCTGGTCACTCTTTAAAGGGTCTTACGACAGCCACGTGGTGGCCCCTTAAAACAGTCACCTTGGCATCCTGGAACTTTCGGATGCTCCATAATGTGACCTCTCTCTCCCTCGGTGGCTCTTTTCCCATTCCTTCCACATCCCCTGAGTTTCCCACCATCCCCTGCTGCAGTGGGAGGCCCTGCTGCCGTGGCAACAGCCATTCCCAGCACCGGTCGATCAAGCCTATCTGTGCAGAATGTTTCCTCGAGTGATTCCTAAAAAGACAGGGTCCTCCCCTGTCACACCACCCCCAGCCCCAGCCCAGAGCCCCTTCCACCCACAGGACAGACGACCCAGAAGGGTCCACTGCAGAGAGGAGCTGTGATGAGGGGCAGGGAGGGGACCCTGGTGATGTTGGAGACCTACAGAAAGGGGCTAGGTCCTGCTCAGTTTCCAAAGGGGAGGCGGGAAAGAGGCTGCTTTAGAATCATTCAAGTCCCCAATCCTTGCCTGCGCCAAACCGGCTCATCACCCCACTCCTCTCCCCCGCTTATTTCTGTGATGCAGATGCGGATGAGTGATTTGACCACATCTGTTGGCCAATGACTTAAAGCAATCTGAGGTATGAAGATAGAGGCCTAGAGCCACGGAAAGGCATGCTGTGACGCCCAGCGTTCCCACCCTGCCGTCCACCGCTGGGCGGATGTGGCCCAGGTCGTCCGCGGGGAGTCTGGGGCTCTGCCCACTGGATTGGGTTAGGATCACTGTGGGCAGGGAGAGAGGAAGAGACAAGAAGGTAGGAAGGAGGGCAGGGCTGCCCGCATCCCGTTGACCTTGAAAGGTGACCTTGGGAGAAGGCGGAATCTGAGGGAGGGGGCAGTGGGCAGGTGATTCTAGGTGACTTGGCGCTGGGTGGTGACTCTGGTGATGGTAAGAGCCGTCAGACTCTGGCTATCTTTTGAAGCCGTCGGAGCAGAGGTGGGTGAACAGGAAAGAACTGAGACTATCCCAAGGATTCTGGCCCGGACAACGCGAAGGTTGGAGTTGCCGTCACCCAAGATTGGGAAGACTTTCGGAGGAGCTGATGTTCGAGGAAGGATTAGAGCCTCTGTGCCCCGGTCGTCCGGGACACCTTCCCTGACGCTCCTGCAGCTCACTGCAGCTGGTGGGGAGCTCGAGAAGTTACAAATGTTTTAGCTTTAGATACATAGTTAACGGGCTTGGTAACTGATGCATGTACAAGGCTACTGTCCCAGGAACTGGAAGGTATGTCTGGACCTGTCCTGGCTTTAGGAGACCCGCAAGCAATCTGACCAAGACGGTATTGTGCCCCAGGGAGAGACTGTCCGCCACTCAGGACACAGATAAAGAATCACCGGTCAGCGGACGAAGGGATGCTCCAAAAATCGTGGACGGCAGCTCTTATCTGATTAACCTTTTCCCCCTGAACTCCACCCTTTACCTATTTTCTCCTGAATTCCGAACCCTTTACCTACACTTTTCTCCTTATAAACGGTCGGCTTGAGACACGACGGAAGACGGCCTCTTTAGGGTGCTTAACCCCTCGTCTTCTCAGATCGCCGACCATCCGAATGAAGAGCCACAGAGATTCAACCTTCGTCTCTACTTATTGGTCCTGGCGGGGGGGTGCTGAGGGGCGGCACGAACGCCGACCGACCCTCTGGCTTCACAGCCACCCGGGTAACTTCCTAACCTCCGCGGCCAACTCTCTTTATTCACGTGATTCTCTTTCCATCTTTGGTAGGTCCTCTGGTCACGGGCTTTCTCTCAAAACCCATCACAGCTCTTCGCACACAGCGGGCCCTCGGGAATCTGTGGTGAATGACGACGGATGGAATGAATGAGTGCGTGACTCAGAGCAGATGTGTGGGGGACGTAAACAGCGGTGACCTCTCGGAAACCCGCCGGAGAGATGGTGCAGCTGGCGTGCTGGAAGGGGAGCCGGGCTCTGGGACCCTGTCCCAGCGACGCCTTCTCCCCCTTCCCTGCTGCCCTGGGCCGCAGGCGGCCAGCAGGACCTCTTTTTGTCCCTTGGAGGGAAGCTGCAGGTCTTCAGGAAAACGACCCTCTCCTCCCCCACACCTGTGTTCTGCTTGGAGGTGCGCGGGGAGCCCTGCGACACGGCCGAGAGACAGGGGCAAGAGTGGGCAAGGGGTCCCCAGGCTGCCGCTCCCAGCTGGAAGTTGAGCCCCACCTTCCGCTGCGGCCTGGAGAAGAGAAGAGGCCAGTGGACCCAGTGGTCCAACACGGAGGCAGCGGCTTGCTCACACCTCTGGGGCCTCATCCAGGAAGCCCTCCCAGATTGGCCCACTCGCTTCCTCCCGGACGAGTCACTACCTTCGCTCGGCCAGGGCGCTGGTTACCGAGACATTTCCGCGATGACATCACCGCCACCACCGAGCAGGGCTTCCCCTGAGTCCAGACTGGAGTCAGAAGGTCCACAAAGCCAACCGTCAAATACAAGTTTTGTGTTGGGGACACGTGACGTCGCCCGGCTCTGAGAGACAGAGAGAGCTACTGGGTGCCAAAAACCTACAGACCATTCCAAGAGTCAGGAGCACCTGTCCACACTTGAACCTGAACCCAAACAGGTGGGGACAGACACCTGGCCTTCCTACCGCCCCGGAGAAACAGCCCCGGCTCGCGGCTGTCCTCACCTTCTCCCTCGGCGCCTCCGCGCTTTGTGAGTTTTTGTTGGGTTTTGAAACGAGGCGTTGAACTTGACAGAGGAACGCCGTGGGTTCATAATTCTAATAGAATAATCACTGGCAATTACCCGGCATCTAAAAACGGCTGTGTGAATGTTGAGGGCCTTCCCCGGTGCGCTGGGTGGGAGTCTCAGCGCCGGGGGCGGGGGAGGACTTCCCTTTCCCACAGCCCGATTTCATCACCAGGAGCTGACCCCCCCCCCCACCGTGCTTCCTGCCCCACCTCACCCCCATGGAACCCAGGTGCTCGGGCAGGAAGGATGTCCCCAGACTGGGCCCATCTGGGTAGTGCAGGGGCCGCTCGCTGTCCCTCCCCGGCGGTGGGCTGAGCCGAGCTCCTCCTGGGAAGTCCTCTCATCTGTCTGACCCCAGTGCTTCTCACCACAAGGCTCGCCCATTGGTGGGAGGGTCTGGAGAGAAGAGGTAACCCTGCCCAGCGTTTCTCTGCCCTCCCTCTCTGGACTTCTGACCCTCCCCTGCCCTGACCCCTGAATCAACTCCAGCTCCCCCTGAAGCCTGGACTCCCCAGCCCGGGGCGGCACACGGGAAGGTGGTTTGCGAGCGAGTATTAGGACTGGGGGTGCTTAATCTTCCGGGAAGGAGGTCTGTCTGCGTTTTCTAGTCAATTGTCTGCATGACCCTCTCCACGGATGGCTGAACCAGCAGCTTAGCCTGAAGTCCCCAGAGGGCAGGGCATGCAGCGGTGTGAACTCAGCGTGAAATGACACAGGTTCGGGGGTATGGAGCAGCCAGTGATGTCCTGGGCTTGCTGGGTTGAAGGAGACGTCAGCAGGGCTGTGGCTCAGGGATCCTCCCTGTCACTTGGCAGGGGTTGGGGGGGACCGAGCTGAAAACCTGAGCAGTTGGCAGGGTGACAGGTGAGTGCCAGCAGCAGGTGGGAGGGCAGGGGATTTGCACCTGGATTCAAATCCTGGCGGGTGCAGCCCCAGCTGTGTGTCCTCGGACAGATTATTCTATGCACCCTCTCTGAGCTGTTTCCTCCTCTGTCACAGGTTAACCGGACCACCTGCAGAGGGCGGTGCAAGGTGCTTGAGAAGGACCTGGTGGGAGGCGCCTCCCCTAGGCCCTGCTCATAGAAGGTGTTCAGTACATGGCTGTCGTCATTGCCACTTGGTCATGCAGTGCCTGGGGCCTGGGAAGGCAGCGGTCACTTGCTAACTGACGTGCCATCTCGAGCGGGTCACAGTTCCTCCCTGTGCCTCCCCTGGAAAATGAGGCCATACCAGGGGGCATGTGTCCTTTGATGCCAAGTCACTTGCAGCCCAGGCCACTCGGATTTGGCCTGAAGCTCCCAGAAGAACACTGGGCTGGCGCCACTGCTGAGGACCACCAGGAGCCAAGGCAAGCTCCTCTGCACAGGGGACAGCCCCAGACCTCGCTCCCACCCAGCCGAGGACACGCGGGGTCGCTCGTTTTCTCAGAAGGGAGACTATCCCTGATCCCAAATCCACAAGACACAAAACACTTGATTGTGGCTTAAAGATGGAATCTGCTCCACGTGGGGCAAGAAGGCAGGAGGGAAGCAAACCTGGAGTGAGGCCAGACTCCACACCCCTGCTCTGTACTCAGCAGCCTCGGGGAGCGGCACAGTGGGGACCAGGTTCTCCTGTCCCTCAGCAATATGTTCCAATGAGGCAAGTCGCAGCCTACGTGTCACAGAGTGGAAGTAATTAAGGATCTGTGTCAACGTTGGGCGGGCTCTCCCAGTCCCCCTGCCTCACACATGGGCACAGACACGCCAGCCTGGCTTCCCTGGGCTCCCCGAGCTCAGGTTGGATGGGGGCCTGGGCATTGCTTTGCATGGCCTGCACCCCCAGAGAGTTGGCAGGTGGAGGCACCCCAGCCACCCCCTTTGGAGGGTCAGTGCACATGTGCACTTGCCCAGAGTAGCGGTGGAGGGAGCAGCTGGTTGGGGACACCCCTGGACACACAAAGGCCAACGCCAAGACCCCTTCAGGTGGCCGGTCGTCGTGGGAAATTCCCTCCCTGCCGGCCATACAGTGATTCTGCCTCATTTGCACGATGTTTCCAGGCAGACCGAGTAGGAAAGCACAGCAAGGCTGAGAAAGGTCCCTCCAGGACTCCGTCCCTCTAGATGCCTGGATGCCACAGGGACCTTACTGAGGACAGAGCAGAGAAAGGCTGGCTGCTCCTCCTCGGCCACAGATCGAGACACAGACCACGAGGACAGACGAGCTCCATGACCCCTGACGTCCCCCCGCACTCGCTCGGGGCTCCGTCTCCCCAAACACGGATCAGCGGCACTGAGCAAGGGGATGGGACCCAGGTGAGCTCCTGGACCAGGAGGGAGGGTGTCTGAGCTACAGAAGGAAGCAAACCTGGCCCCTGTAGTCCACAAACTGAGAGGGAGATCACAGGATCCGCAGCCAGAAAAAGCACATGATCCATAGCCAGGAAATCACATGATCCACAGCCTGGAGATAGCGGTGCCGGGTCCTGTGGGCAGTTCCAATCTATAATGTGGGACCTCTGAGGCGCCCAGCTCTCCTACAATGTGGGGGGATGAGCCCAGGCCCCCCGGTGCTGCCTGGTCAGCTCCGACACGGGTGGTCACTGGGTGGCCTTCTGGGAGCCAACGGACTCTCCAGGGCAGGTTGGCTGGACGAACCTCGAGACTGACCTCCCTGAGTGCAGGCCACAGCCTTATTCATCTTTTACATTCCCTGGTGCTTTGTTGATTGAACGACCGAATGAATGACCGATTGAATGAATGACCGATTGAATGAATGAATGAATGAATGAATGAATGAGTCAGCCAAGCCCTGAGTAAAGTTCCTCCTAGGCTCCTGGTCCTCTCCCCTACGGGTGACACACTTTCAGACTGAGCAGTCGAGGGGTCTTGCAGCAAACAAGCCTGGGGGGGTTTCCTAGAGCCCCCCCCCCACTCATCGGATGACAATCTCGAACGCAAGCCGGTTCGGTGGCGACCAGTGGCTGCAGCCACGTGGCGCACATAAGGAAGCCGTTACAGTAACAAAGCTGCCGATGTAAAAATAGAGACATAGTTTCCCGGTTACCACACTCTCATTCTGACGGCTTCCAGTGCCAGCGAGCTGGGTTTCCTTCTGTCCCCTGCAGTGCCCCCCGCTCCCCTGCGTGCCTGCCTCTTGTGGGAGGTGGGGGTTCACTGTGTCGACACCCAGGCTCCACCCCAGCACCCTCCTCCCCGAGGCCTGCCGGGGAGTGTGGCTGCTCTGTTTTCAGGGTGGCGGTGGCTCGAAGTCACCGCTGTCTACAGGCCTGGAGACGGCTCGGAAGAACCCAGTTCCTAGGCCGAGTGGGACACCTGCCCGCCTGCCCAGCAGAGGACAGTGAAGTCGGGGACAACAGCCAGCAGTGTCCGGTGACAGCTGGGTCAGGCTGGGTCCCTCTTCCCACTGGAGCAGGGCACCGAGCTCAAGCTGTGACAACTCCGGGATTGCCAAAAGCTAGTTCGTCCCATTCCCGGGACAAGCGTCGGTTTCTCTGAGAAACCAGAGGACAGAGCTGCTCCCTGCAGGGTGGAGTCCCATGTGGCTCTGGTGTGGGCCTCGGCTGTCCTCTAGGTATTTAATGTTGCGGGAAAACCAACCCCCCCGCCCAAACCCTGCTAAGATTTTAGAATCTCATCCATTTAGGACCCAACCTACGGTGCATTCATTGACGCGCCATTCATTCATTCAAGACACCTGCTGAGCCATGGGCCAGAGACGGGCCCTGGGAACAGACAGTGTCTCTGCCTTTGGAGAGAATCACTGTTTTGGGGAGTCTCATATTCTGGTTCCTGAGGCTCAGGCAAGAGCACTACCCACGTGCCATGATGTGCTGTGACTCAGGAGTCCACAGCGAAGGTGACTGGCACGGGAGCGGCCTGTTGAAGGTAGTCCAGGGAGAGGAAGCAAGTAGCAGCATGGCTCTGGGCTGTAGGCCTGGTGCCCGGCACCTGCATCGATGGCTCTCACGCTCCCAGCTTGTGCCTCACTGTCCCAGCCTCGGCAGCTCCCACGACCTGAGCGTTGGCTAAACATGGCCCCCACCAGCCCCTCTCCTGTCCTGACCTTGAGGGGCTCCTGGATGGGAAGGTCCAGCTGTGGGCTGAGTCAAGCACCAAGTGTAATTCATGGTTGATGCCCCTCAGTGAAGAGATGGATCTGCCCGTCCAGGTGCCCAGGGCCCTCCCCACCCTGGGAGGAAGTCCTTCCTCCGAGTACTTACCCATGCAGGAGTCATCGTCCTCAGTCCCGCCAGGGGGGGTGGAGCACCCATCCGAGGTCCAGCTGCCCTGGGAGCCGGGGCCGGGTTCATGGTCGGTCTGCAACCTGCTGGACAGAAAGTGGAGGTTACTTGAGGCCTCGAAGCCTCTCCATGGGACCAAGGAACCCCCCCATAGAGCTTGGTACCTGCACCCGTATGCCTGGGCCTCCTTGGTGGGCACATGCCCATGTGTGCATGCTGGGAGGCAGCAGGTCTCTGGGCAAAGTTGGGTGGAGGAGACGGGTGAGCCTCTGAGGGCACAGATGCCTGAGGCTAGTCACCCTGTTCCTACATCACCCATAGGGCACAGGATCTCAGGCCTGGCCGCTGGCCCGGGCTCTGCATGGGTCACACAGGGGAGAGCTCCCTCTGAGCTGAGGTCACTGGCTCCTCATGGGAGCTCAAGGACAATCAGACTCCCTGGGCTGGCCCAGGTCCAGGCAGGGAGGTTGGGAAGGAGGAGGGGTAGGCTGGGCTTGGGCCACTCGACTCCCAGGAGGATGCATGTGCTGGGCCAGTGGTGGCAGCAGGCAGGGTGGGGTCTCTGGGCACCAGCTCCCAGCGCACACAGACCTCTGAGCTCCACCGACCCCTCCCAGGAACAAAGGCTGAGGGAGCTCTCATTACAGGCAATTACCCTGGGCTCCGGAGCTGGCCCGCCCATGGCTCTCTCTGTCTCCAGCTAAATGGGCCCTCTGGCAGCTGGGCAGGAGGGGGAGGGGAGGGCTGTGCAGCAAGAAGGGGAAACTGATGCTGGCCCTGGGGTGGGGACCAGGCTGGGGGACCCTGCGCGTCTCCACTGCTGTGAGATTGCCCTCTCTCCAGTTCTTACTTCTCAACACCTAGCCTGCCGGGCCTCGGGCTCAGCTCTGCCGTGAACTTGCCGCGTAACGCAGAGCAAACCCCTTCCTTCCCCTCTCTGGGTCTCGTGTGGGGTGGAAGTTTCGACCTCCCTCCATGGCCCAGATCAGTCTGAGAGTCTGGGGTTGAGTTCTGGGGAGCAGTGAGCGCAGACCTGGGTGTCTGAAGTAAGGGAAGAGCCCGCTGGTGAGGGAGTCGCTGGATGTTCTAGAAGGGAGAAGAAACTCTACGAAGGTGTAAGTGTTTCCCTGGATAACAGCATTATGTACAGAGTAGCGGTTTGACCCAGAGCAGGTGGGCAACATCCAGGGTTAGAAACAGGAGTCCTTTGCTGCCATGGTTACTGTTGCCACTGTTAGAATGCCAGGGTGGGGGAGGGGCGGGCCTCCTCCCCAGGGATGCTGAGGAAGGCGGCTGGCACCTCCCTGCCTCGGTGGGCTCTGCACCCCCCGCCCACGTCTCCCTCACTTTCCGGCCTGCATGGACGCTGGCCGAGGCTCAACCAGACGGAAAAAACCAACCACCCTACCCTCCTGACACCACTGACAGGACAAAAGGCAGCTGCAAAGGGAGGAGGGGCCACATGCAGGGGACCCGAGGACCAAGAGAGTAGACTGAGGGGCACTGTAGCCTCCTTGGGTCCCAGGGGCGGGGTATCCCAAGGGGCAGCGGCCGGGTCAGAGGGGAGGCAGGCGATGAACTCCCCTGGGGCGGACCCGTGATGGGGCCAGGGAGTGGGGCTGGCAGGCTCACTCCCTGGGGAAGCGGGTCAGCTCCACCAGGCTGTAGCTCTGTAGGAGCTGAGGAGCCGATTCCACGAAAGCAAATGTCTACGGCTTCTAGGGAGCAGATGGCATGTCCTTGGCTATGAAACTTGCAGGACGGCCCAGCCTGGCCCTTGGCAGAGCTGCCCATGGCACCAGCTCCAGGTCTCACAGGGTGTGCTGGGCCCCTGCCCACCTGCCTGCCGTGCCTGGGGGTGTCCCTGGTCCTAATCTTCCCTTGCTCGAACCGTGACCCTACCCGCAACCGGAATCCAGGGCCTGGAAGGGGCAGGGTCGAGGGGTGGAATGATGTGACCCCCCCCCCCC